AGCTCTCACCCTAACTTTCATATGCATGTAAGTATATGGCTGTCAGTCAATTACAGTCTTTTTCATATAAAGGCGCGGTAGTTGGCTTGCACTTATTTATAAAGGATCAAATTAAAAATAATATATGTAATATCAGACACGATTGCATTGTTCGAAGATCATAATCGAATTCAAAAATCGTAAATGTAAGTGGCATTTTGCCTTGAGAAAAGTTGTAGTTGCATGTCCAAAAAAGCGTCCTATTATTCGCAACATTAATACATTTTTAAAGTCAACCCCCAAGGACTATAATATTTTAGGATGTGCGTTTATTCCGAGAACTCTATCATTATATGTTAGGTTTTATTCAAAAAGCAAAAAAAAAAAACAATTATGGCCGAATTATGGGCCGTTTTTCGTAGGACTATAATATTTTAAGATGAGCGTCATCATTATGTTAGATTGTATTCAAAAAAGCAACAAAAAATAAGCATTTATGGGCCAATTCTGGCTTAAAATAGACGAATATTGTGGCAAGGCTATGTTACGTTCCAGTTTTCATACAAAATGCTACTAAGTACTATCAAAATGCCATGTATTTGACTTTGATCGATTTTTGAAGGATTTTTTCCCCCTCCCCCAGCAAACATCACGTATATTTCTGATTACAAAAAAACAATTGTAATTTTTTTTTTGAAATGTTGGGATTTTTTTCAAATTCAGGTAAAGAATAAATACACGTAATACCTTACTATACTCCTCCTTTCCCCACATTATATTAGGTTGTCAAATATCTCCTTTCCGCCTTTTTGTATTATAAACCAATAGCAAAAAAGCGGGTGGGAGATATTTGACAACCTAATATTTTGTAATTTTTTGTCAAACCCCCCTCCCGCTAAAAAGCTCACGTTATTAATAGATGCCCCTTATAATAACGTCGCTTTTTTAACATAAGTTAGATTTTCTATCTAAAACGTCTGACTGCACAGCAAACACATAAGATTTCGACAGTATTTAGTATCACTTTATATGAAAACTGCTGCATAACATAGCCTTGCCATAACATTGGTCTATTTTACCAATCTTGATTAGGTTCTAGATTTTTTGCTAAAACGTAGTCAAACATTTTTGCACTTTTTTGCTGATAATAAAAAAATGACTCTGCCGGTCATCACGAGTTCTTATCTAATTTTGTCGAGTGAATTTTCTTAGGATAGAAGAAATAAACTTCTCCTTCGGGAAGTAAATAAGTAATCCGTCTCTGCATTTAGCACAATATATAAAATAAATTTATTCCGTCCTTAATTTGTTTATTATTAATATTAATAAGCATTTCGCCCACGTTTCGTCTGCCCGTTGCAATGCCGTTGACTTATTGTAAATCTAACGGTCAAATAAAATGCCATCGCCAAATTTGTAAAGTAATTAGATTTAATAATTTATAATGCATAGTGAATATAATTGTCCTCAATATTTGTTAAATAAATTAGGAGCAAATTTTATTTTTCTACGTTAACCTGTACAAGATTCAGCCAACCTGTATCTATCTCCTAACTGAAAAAATTGTTTATGTATTTTTGTTTTTATACTATGTTTTTATATATGATGTATACTATCTCTTATATATAATTTATATTATATCATTTTTAAATAAATCATATTCTATCTAATTTTCAAATTTTTGCTGATTTTTTTTATTAATTTTTTTCTTCTAAATCAGATCTTCTCCAATTCTAATCTTGGTTTTCTTCTTACTTTTAATTTTACTTAAAAAAGTTTTGATTAAGAAAAATTAATTTAATTTAAATTCAACTCAACCATTCAAATTCTATTTAACTTCGAATGAACTATTTTTAAATTCAACTTTTTACTTCTATTTCAATGCAATTTCTCAAATTATATTCAACTTTAATTAAACATTTCAAATTTATTATCAGACTGAGCTACTCTCGCCACAAATGAATAATATAAAACGTTATATTGAATAATCTAATTCAAAATATTATCAGATGAATAAGATTAAAAACATGCTCATCCCAAAGTTTCATTTAGCCAGTTTAATTGCTTCCCACGAACCAATAACGTCATCAATACGAATCGAATGTTTAATAATTTTACTATACCGAACTATGCCAATTTTATACAATCATATAGAGGCTTTATAGTATGTTTCTATTTCAGAATCCGATAAGCCAGAATGGTAACAAAATATTATGAACGTTTGCACCCACGTACATTCAAAATAATAAAATAATATGGCCTAGTTAAACGAATGTTATTAATAAACTAGTGGTGTATGGCATCGTGTCTTAAAGAAAATTGCTGGAACTTCCCGTACCGTAATGAAATATTCGAGAAATTTTAAACGTTTTCAAATATATTATTACAAATACTGTAACTTTCATTATTTTTGCTATCTTGTTATATCTGAGCAAATCAAATGTAAATTATAAATAAATCAATTTATCTCCAGAACATTAACAATCGTCATTTCATTTCGAATTAATTTAAAAAAACATATTGCTAATTTACACAAAATTGAATTAAAGTGCTCCCGTATAGTCACAGCCTAAACGCATTTACAAATAATTCTGCGCGACATTTTCACTTATACTGTGCTTAGCTCGGCGGCATTTTCACACTTTTCAACAAGAAAGAAAAACAGTCTAAACGCACTTGGGTAAACATTTGCACCAGAGTGGCGCTTAGACTGTGCTTAGCCTGGGTAATTTTTTGAATTTTGAATCCAAATGTAATATTTTTTATCCTCAAAAGCAATTGTTTTATTAAAACAAGCAGAAAGATTTTTAAATCACTCAAATCAGACGCTTAGTTCACTCAAAAACTGCCATTTTTTGCACATTTAGCTGCATATCATCTAAAACGGCTAGACCTGCCTTTACTAAAAACTAAACACCACTTCTCCTAATCATAACAAATTGAATGCATTTTGAATCATTCGAATCGGATACTCCTTTCACTCAAAATCTCGACTTCAATTTTCTGCACTCTTTGCTCCGTATCTCCGTAACGGCTGTATCTTTGCCAAAAACTAATCAGCACATCTCTTTATCAATAGGAATCAAATGGAAGGAATATCAATAGGTAAATGAATGAATGATCCGAAAACTTGGACAAAATATGCGGACATACAAAACATACATACACCCATTTTTTCTGTGGTATGCCAAAATGTTCAGAAACCGCTGAAACATGAAGATATGCAAAAATTTTCATTTTTGATTTTCGGCCCATTAGTATAACTTACCCTACGGGAGGTTAATAATTGTAATAAATTAATAAAAAAAAATTATTTAACCAAAGAAAAAAATTGTTGGAGTTTTCCTCAAGTTCCAACGCTGATGACATAACAAAAAAATCGTTCTTTGTGATTTATATTACATAAAGATGACGTTTGAGTACATTTATTTAATTTCCAAAATGTTTCAAAGCAAACGTATTTTTGTAAAAATATTCGACATATAGAGCGTGAAAATGAATGACGTCACTTTGCGTGAAATATCGACAGTAGAATTTCAATAAATAATTTCTTTTTAACACATAATTAATTAGCAATAAATTTTCAACGTATGTTTATATATTTATATATAAGTGTATAAATGTTTTAGTGTGTATATAATATAATATTTTGGTGCGGTTTCCTGAAAGTCGGTAGCATTGACCGCAGGCGAATCGAAGGGAAACTAATTAGATTCAGATTTCGTTCCATATATCGCCGACACGTCAAATTATATCCGATAGTAACAAAATACTAAATACACTTGTAAAATATAATGCATTTCCTTATAATATATATATATATATATATATATATATATATATATCAGGGTGTAGCGTGCCTTGGCAGGACCCTAATCAAAGTTTTTGGGGAAGAAAAGTAAAGATTTCCGAAAAAAATATATAACTAGTGGGGCGCATGGCATCGTGACTTAAGGCAAATGGAACTTCCTGTACTAAACATTATTATTTTTTTAAATATTAACATTTTTAAAAAAAAAATTACTCTGAAAAAATTAGATTTTTGAGAAACTCTAAATTCTTGACAAAAATTTACTTTCGTTTGGAAAAAAAAAGACATTTTGAAAAATAATTTATTTTGAAATATTTTGGAAATTCTGAACTTTTTTTCGAAGCAATCGTACAGCTTTAACTGCACGGCTAATTGATTAAAATTTTAATACATTTTTCATAGGACTATAATATTTTATTACGCCCATAAAACCCAGGCACTGAAATCTAAACATCCAGTGCTAAGACGTCAAAAATGTCACAAAAAATAAAAAAAACAATCAATAGTTTCTACCAGGGTTTGTACAAAAATCGACATTTCAGAAAACCGGTTTTCGAATTTTAATTTCACTAAAAAACCGGTTTTAACCGGTTGTCTGTTCCGAGAAATTTTAGTTAATTAATTTTAAACAATCTAATTGTTTTTTGTTTAATAAAATATGATTTCAAAAAACTGAGAACGTCTATCGAAATGCTACTTATTGTTAGATGTGTCCTTTGTTTACTCATAAAATGTCCTGAAATAGAAAATACTTTCATACTAGCGACCAAATTATGCTTAATTGTTTTTAAAGCCTGATATAATAATTCTAAGTTTTTTGTTCTTTAATTTGTGGCTTCTAGGGTTTAAAACTCTTTTTTTTTAAGTTTGAGTAGTGGAAGTTACTTCTTCAAGAAGAAGTCACACTGATTTAAATAAATATATAAACTGCTATAAAAATCTAAATTAATATATACAAAACCTTTCTGGGAACCATTGCAGACTGATAAGATTCCAAATGCTATTAAACCGATATGATTTCAAGAATCAAAACGCTTTCATCTATCTTTTATATTTGGCTATATTTGTTATTTTCCACATATTCAGTAAAAACCGACTTTTTTCGCTGAAAAATCGGTTTTCAAATCCCATAATTTTCGCCAAAAAAACTGGTTTTTAAAACCTTTTTTTGAAAGCCGACAAACCCTAGTTTCTACTATCTCCAACTAACCTTTTTCTCGAAATCACTGGCTGCACTCGAAGTCATGTAATCGCTCTGTTTCCTCCTATCAGGACAAAGCCTCAACGTTGATCCTCCATAAACACTGTCCCTGTCGCCGCTGCTGCTGACTGCAGCTCCAATTTTGCTGCTGTTGCAGCTGCTGCTGACAGCTGTTGTACGGGGACAGCTGTCGATGGCACTTCCACTCGCTCCGGAACAACTGGCGCTGGTCGTATCGGTGGCCAGAGTACTCCGGGAAGGAATCGGACTTGGTTCTGATAAAATATAGAAAAAATTGATCATTGATTAGAATTGAACCAGTAGTGTATGATATAGCCTAGTCATTTTAGGTTAAATTAGGCAAGAATCTCGGAATGTGAGATACCCAGCTGTAAGTTTGTAAATAGTTGTATATTGACACCCTAAAAGTTGTCTCAAAACCTACATATGGCAGGGTGTGCGCAACTATTAAATTTCGTGGTCAAAGGTCACAAAAATCGCGGTTTTTCGCTTTTTTTTGTAAATATCTCATTTCCTATGGTTGTTTTTGCTATTTATGTTTATTATCAATATTGTAGAATACAAAATTCTCTACAAGTTTTGTTTGGAAGAATTTTTCATACGGTGAACCGTTTTCGAGATAGAGGCGCGTTTTTTATCGGTTGGCCTGAAGTCTTGAAGTAATGCAGAGACCGCGCGCTCTCCGCCCTTTATCTCGAAAACTGTTCACCGCATGAAAAATTATTTCGTAGAGAATTTTGTATTCTACAATATTGATAGTAAACATAAATAACAAAAAAACCATAGGAAATGAGATATTTACAAAAAAAAGCGAAAAACCGCGATTTTGGTGACCTTTGACCCCAAAATTTAATAGTTGCGCACACCCTACCATATGTAGGTTTTG